TCAAAGTTCTTTACACGACGAAAGACAAACTTGAACTGATACTCACTACAGAAACGACACTCTATTTATACATTTCATGCGTCACCCCTACTAACGCACACGGTGTAAGGAGAACGATCATAGCGTCACTTATCCTGCGTTGAAGTGTATAAATAGAATGCGCATTCGCTGCTTCGCCATTCATTTTGTGTTCGACTCTCGTTGAGTAAGTGTCAAAGTAAAAAAGAAGCAATGGCCCGTACAAAGCAAACACCACGTAAACAATTGGCAACCAAAGCCGCTCGTAAAAGCTCACCAGCCACCGGAGGTGTGAAGAAACCACATCGTTATCGCCCAGGAACAGTCGCTCTCCGTGGAATCCGTCGTTACAAGAAATCTACAGAATTGTTGATCCGCAAGTTGCCATTCCAACGCGATTTCCGTTTCCAGAGCTCAGCTTGTCTGTCAATCAATTAAAAAAGCGAAATTCAAAATTTTAAATTATTTTATTTCTTATTTTTTCACAGGTCCCATCGCCAAAATGAAAATCACGGATATGAATATTGACTGTCTCGAAGAATGTTTTGAGTATTTGGAATTTGGTGATCTTCTGAATGTGGCCTATGCAAATAAAAAACTGCGTAAAGCGGCTAAGTTTTTTTACCTGCGGAAGTATGGCGAATTTACCGTATCTTTTAGTGTATTTAGAAGAAAACCTTTTCTACCTTTTAAGGTACATTTAAACTATAGACGTATAGATATACAGGAATTGAAATCTGCACTTCAACTTTTACACTGTTTTGGTCACTTGATCAAATATGTGTGGTTTACTTCTTCAGTGCTCAATGATTTACTGCTCAATTACCTCAATGAATATTGTGCTGAGTCGTTAGTCACGTTCGAATTTTACATGGCTAACAAACGAAAAAACGAACTTGGACCACTCACAAAGACATTCACAAAAGTTCAAAGAGTTGTATTCGTTAATAGTTATTTATTCGACAGTGGCTGGCTCGAAAGGACTTTCCCGAATGTAAAATATTTTAAATGTTGCATTGGATATGGGAGTCAGGAGAATCACAATGAGAATGAAATGGCCATTCATAACATTAGTTGTGTGGTGGGTCATTTTCCTGAATTGGAACGATTTAAGTTTGATTATCACGTGAAACGTTTATTAGACTCAACAAAGGACGAGATGGCAGCCATTTTACGCTTGAATCCACAGCTTAAAAGACTATATCTTGGTGCGAATGCGGCTGACACTGACAGAGAACCTTTTTTTGATTTTGAAACATTTCGTAATTTAATCGAACCAATGCAAAATCTTGAAGAACTCACATTGTCGGGTAATTTTGTATTATTTTCCAATTCTAATGGCAACAAAATTCATTTGAAAAACATTAAAAAGTTCGGACATCTTGGTGAAAAATTAAACTTAGAAATGCCATTTTTGTTTGATCAAGTTGAATATTTTTGTATAGGAAGTCAAATGACGGAAGATGTTTATGACTTCATCGAAAAACATCCAACCATTAAGTGGTTAAGTTTCAAGGAATCATCTTCAAATTTTAACGTCACACGACTAATGAACGCAATACCATTACTAACGGAAATCGAAGTTTTTTCTGACATATCAGTTGATGATGTACTTCGTTTGGTGTCCAGTTTCAAATCACTTAGAAAAATTGCTCTATTGAAATATTACGCCAACAAAAACTGGCGCAAAGAATTACGAGAACACCTGGGAGATGAATGGCAAATACCAGATAAAACATCTACTGTTTGTGGTTTTAATCAAAGAGTATTGTTCTTTTTAATGAGTAAATCTTTTTAATAAATAACTTTAATGAACTAATAGAACGGTCTTTATTTGCTAAATTAAATGCATGCAATGCGAAAATAACATGCGAAAATGAACGAGTAACATATGCTTATTTGACATAGATGAATGAATGTAAACATAAACAAGAAGTTGACTCCGACATCATCTTACGTTACGATCATTCAGCAAGTAGATGGAATCTAGTTTGTATGTAGTAGTTTGCTAATATAATGTTCAAGAGTTCCGTAGTGACGCCATATAAAATTTTAATTGTTTTTTTTTTTAATCGTGAAAGAATATTTGGAAATTTTTGTGTTGAAATCATCATATTTATTTTCACAACAAACATTTTCCGAATATTCTTAACATAATTTATTACGAATCGAAGTACAATATAAAGAAATATGTGTTTATCAATATGTTCATAGTTTTAAAAATAAAAGTCGTTTCATTATAATCCCATTATTTTACTTTTCCGCACGAAAAGCGGTGAAAACTATTATTTTTGTTGTTATTTTACCGCCAAGTAACCAAACAAAAAAAATATAAACAAACATGCAAACATGTGTGACTTACGAAAGTGAAAGATATTGCCACCGGAAATTACTCCGTTTGTTATTAGTCAAACGAGTGGTATTCGAAATAAACAAAAATTAAAATGCATTTTCGAATTCAATGCGAACTCATTACTGCATGTGCCGAAATTATCGAAAGTACTTCTGGAATCACGTAGAAAATATTTTTATCACTTCTTAGCACAATGAGGTAATAGAATTTGAACTGTCGTTGAATGTTTGAATATTTTGAAAAAAAAAATTGCAAAAGAAGCACGTAGATAAAATAAAAACACTACATATTTATCTAATTTGCTCATGTACAACGAGACAAATCAATACACAATTGCATACTATGTGCATTACATTCTTTATACATAATTCATTTGGTTCTCGAGAGTATATAAATCGTTGTACAATGAAAATGAATTCAGTATTGAAATCAAAAATGAAGTTCGTCATTGCAATTTCGCTACTATTTGGAGTACTTCTGATTGGTTGCAATGCATCTGGAAGTAAGTAATAATACTGTGTTTCTCATATTTTTAAAGCGGACAATTGTAATTTTGTTGTGGGTGATCCGCAATAATTTCATACAAATATGCAGGGTGTTGTGGATGTTGTGGACAATCTTTTTTTTCATTTTCTTGCTTTTTTTTCCAACTATAGGTTCTATGACTTATCATGTACCTATTGAAAACCAGCCTGATGTTAATAATGGAAACCTGAGAAATGTTTGGATTATGGTTAAAGTGAAGAGTGTAGCTGTAGGACCCACTGAAGATGATTATGGTCCTACCAGTTATTTTGTAGAACTTGCACATATACAATACTTTTCGCAGAGTCACTTAAAAACGGGACTTATGATAAACGTCGAACCCATCATTTTTCAAATTGGTATGAATGATTTTTTTTTATTCTGAACTAAATGATTGATAAAAAAAATAATATACTGTTTTTATTTCAGGTGATATCGCATACCTCAATGTGTATGTAATACTTCCGGGAACGTTCCAGCCTAATGACAAAATCGAAATTGATGAAACTCGTCAAATAAATGCTTTAACCCGGCATATGAGCTTAGATGACCCATATCATGTGAATATTTATGAACCCGATTCTGCAGGTGAATCAGACTAAGTTTCAATCATAGGAGTGGCATAATTTCGATTTAAATCATTATTTTTTGTAAAAATTTGACAACAATAATGTTACGCAATCGAATCGCTCATAACCCTGTCCACGAGATCCAGTAGTTTACAATGAATTAGATTTATCCATATTCCGAACAAAACAAAAATGTAACAAACAAACAAATAAACTCAATCATTTTTGCCACTTGAATTGCCAACATTAAATTCTGCACTTTATACAGAACACATTAAATAAATAACATTTCTTTATTAAAACTACAAACTAAATTAAAGTATCACTGTAAGACTATATTTTTCTAGATTTGTGCAGCCATTCAAAATGCATGACTTCAAATGACAGATGATTGTATTTGCTTTCTTCTCTTGTATGACTTTCCCTATCGTTGAAATTAATCATTCAACCCGAGTTCATTTGTGCAAAACAATGAAGACAACAATTTTGCTCATTTATAAAAAAAATATTTTAATATTTCATACACCGTATGGTTTTGTTTCTTTGACTTTTCATTTATTGTGAAATGAATTCCTACACTTTTTATATAGCTGCCTATATACTTAAAAGTCATTTTGTTTCTTTTTGTTGGTGCATACAATGTTTTATAAGAATAAAAAATAGCAGTGATGAGCAAATTAATCATGGATAACTATTATGAGATTATCACATTTTTCGTAATTATTTCGACAGAAATTCTAAATTTCTTTCATTTTGCTTGGGCTTTTGAGGTTGATACTTTTCGAATTTATTCGGGTCTTTTAAAGCCAAAAAGTATTCGAATATGATAGAGATTTTCAAACAATATCTTCTCAAGCGGCTAAAGAATTTATTCTGAAGTAATAAATATGATATATTGTATAAACAAAAGGCAAAGGCGCATCCGGTTCATTCAAATTGTCAGCCGCTGCTCTTAAACCAAAGGTCGAAAAGAAGAAGCCAGTGAAAAAGGCAACAGCTGTCAATCCGAAGAAACCAAAGGCAGCAAAAAAACCACCAGTAAAGAAACCAGCAGCAAAGAAAGCCGTTTCATCCACCGCCAAAGTAGCAAAGAAAGCCGCTTCAGCCACCGCTAAAGTAGCAAAGAAAGCCGCTACACCAAAAGTAAAATCGGTCAAACCAAAGGTGAAGGCTCCATCAAAGCAAAAGGCAACCAAACCATCGAAATCGGCTGCCCCAAAGAAGCCAAAGACATCAAAACCGAAAACAGCAAAGGAACCAGCCGCAGCCAAAAAGCCAAAGGCTGCCAAAGCACCAAAAGCTTAAATGACTGAATGTATTTTGCTACCATAAAAAATACAGAATATAATGAAGTAAATGTAAGTAAGGAAGTGTCATTTTAAATGATATTATCAACGCATAAAATAAACCGAATAGTATATATATATTTGAAAAAGGATTCAACTTTAATAAAGTTTGTTTAGTGGCTTTATTTATTTGACATTTGACGATTAGATTTTATTATTTCGAAAAATTGTGAATGTTTAGATTGATTTAAGAAGCTCTTTGATAAAAATGTTTTTGGTAGCCCTGAAAAGGGCTGTTTTTCTGTAATTTGTTGTTGTTGATGATCGGGATTAATTTAACCTCCGAAACCGTACAAAGTGCGGCCTTGACGTTTCAAAGCGTAGACGACATCCATAGCGGTGACTGTCTTACGTTTGGCGTGTTCGGTGTATGTGACGGCATCTCGGATGACGTTTTCCAAGAAAACTTTCAAAACACCACGAGTTTCTTCGTAGATCAAGCCTGAGATACGCTTGACACCACCACGACGAGCCAAACGACGGATGGCAGGTTTTGTGATGCCTTGGATGTTATCACGCAACACTTTACGATGACGTTTTGCGCCACCTTTTCCCAATCCTTTTCCACCTTTACCACGGCCGGTCATTTTGATTTAGATTTTTCAAAGTTCTTTACACGACGAAAGACAAACTTGAACTGATACTCACTGCAGAAACGACACTCCATTTATACTATTCATGCGTCATCCCCACCACAGCATACAACACAAAGTTCGCGCCAAAAAATTTCCCCTACAAACTAACGAAACGAATTTTTTTCGATGATTTTCCAATGAAATTCACAAAATATTTGCAATATTTTTACAAAAATAAATTCATATTGGCTTTAGCTTGAATATAATTTCGTTTTAAATGGTTTAAGATCGAAAATGAATGTAAATTTGAGAAAAATACATGCGGTGATCGTAGCGTCACTTCTCCTGCGTGAAATAGTATAAATATTGTGCACTCACTGTGCTACGATATTCAGTTTCTGTTTAACTCTCGTTGAGAAAGCATTAAAGTGAAAAAGAAGAAATGGCCCGTACAAAGCAAACCGCACGTAAATCGACTGGTGGAAAGGCACCACGTAAACAATTGGCAACCAAAGCCGCACGTAAGAGCGCACCAGCCACCGGAGGTGTGAAGAAACCACATCGTTATCGTCCAGGAACTGTCGCTCTCCGTGAAATTCGTCGTTACCAGAAATCGACTGAATTGTTGATTCGCAAATTGCCATTCCAACGGTTGGTTCGTGAAATCGCTCAGGATTTCAAAACCGATTTGCGTTTCCAGAGCTCAGCTGTTCTTGCTTTGCAAGAAGCCAGCGAAGCCTACTTAGTTGGTTTGTTCGAAGACACCAACTTGTGCGCCATCCACGCTAAACGTGTTACCATCATGCCAAAAGACATCCAATTGGCCCGTCGTATCCGTGGTGAACGTGCTTAAATTCAATATTTAACAAATTTTCAACAAAAATCGGCCCTTTTCAGGGCCAACAATTTATTTTTTATAAAGAATTTTCAATAATCTCAACCAATTGATCTCTCTTCATAACCAAAAAGTTCTTTTCAGTACTATTTTCGATAAATTATTATGAAATTTGTTGTTTACTTCCAGTATCAAGATAATTTATTTTAATTAAAAATCGTTCCGATAAATTTGACGTTGAAAAGGAAAATACTTCGTCTTTTTGTATTTCATGATGTTTCTATTCCTACACAACTTTATATCATTCATTGTTATTTTTTTAAAGTCAGCTTCTCTGCCATTCGGATATATAATGTGCATAATGCAATAAGTAGAGTTTTCATGTTTTTACATGTTTCAAATCAAATCTAGTTTCATTCGACGAACAAAAATCAACACCGAAAAATATCTATTATAAAAAAAATGCTTGCAAAAATGTTTCTCATAAAATTTTACATGGAATGTCCATTCAATGGAACACAAAAAAAAAAAACAAATATTATGTATTTGACTTTGAGAAGTGTCGTTGATTATAAATTCGATGATGGTGTTTTTTTTTAAATTCTATATCAGTTATTGATTTGTCATCTTTATTTTTGCTAAATAACTTTTTGAGTACTACTTAACTTAAGAAATAAAAATAAGAATAAAGCAAGAATGGATTTTTGTTAAAATTCTTTATAAGTTATTTATTTGGTGGCCCTGAAAAGGGCCGTTTCTTTGTTTTGAATTCGAAGCAGCTTATTTAGAGCTTGTGTACTTGGTGACGGCTTTGGTGCCTTCACTGACGGCGTGCTTGGCCAATTCTCC